TCCCTCGATCACGGATCCCGCCGTGCAGCGAACCCAAATATCGTCGTATTGCTAAGGGTACGGAGCGCCAAGATGACCCAGCCGTCGGCACCACCGCGGAGTGGGAGTGGTTTCTCGTACACCGCCGCGCCACCGGAGCCGCCGCCCCTTCATACGCGTCGGCGGGCAGCACCAGCGGCGGCAGCGCCTGGCGTAGCGAGGCGGTCTGCGCGGTCTCCTGGTTCGGCGTCGGTGGTGGCGGCGGAAGTGACGGCCACCAGCCCTGGGACTGGGTGGGCTGACCTGGGTTGCCGTACGCAGCGGCTAGCGGAAGCAGGAAAATAGACACGCCGTCGTCGGTGGGCGGCGCTGTGTTGTTGTACGGCTCCGGAGGTAACGATGCCGCGTTGCTGCAATGAGACTCAGGCCAGGGCCTGCACGAGTCGCGCGGCGGCGGCAGCGACGGCAGCAGCTGTGACGGCAGCGGGGATGGCTGCAACATTAATTGCGGCGAAGTCCGCGGCGCCGTCCGTGGGGACGAAGGGACCAGCTCCAGGTCGGTAGCGGCGCTCAAATCGACACCATCGGCAGATTGCAAAGAGGGCGTTGACGCCAGCGCCGATGCCAGCGCCGACGCCGGAGGCGACGCCGCCCTCAACTGGGGGGACTCCAAACTGAAAGGGGCTAGCGGCTGCAGGGGCTCCGCAGCGGCGGCGGTGGCGGTGGCGGTGGCGGTGGCACCAGCTCCGGCAGCGACAGAGGCAACGGCGGCGCTCAAAGACCCGGCGGCCGCTTCCGCGACATCGCTCTACAGACGCTCATCCGGGGCCGAACGTGACTGGATTTAATTAAAAAGGATGAGCCAAACTGCAGCTGCTGTATCTCATTCACGCACACGACAAGTCAAGTTGATCAATAACAAGGGGGCATGTGGTTCAAGACTCGGAGCATGCAAAGCAAAAAAAGTTAATTGAATACTGCACGGCAATGTGCAATATGCATAATGCCGTGCCCTATGTCAACGGTGCCGTACACCGCCAGCACACGCCTCTGCCTGGTTGCCCATCCAGAGGTACCGTGAGATACCGGGGGGGCGGAGAGTTCCCCGCGCCCCGGGCTTACCCGTACACGATACGGCATTGCACTTCGGAGCGGCTCTGGACTGTCGTGGGTGGGGGCCCCCGGCCAACCGATGCTGCCGTACCCCAGCGCTGCCGTACACCGCGCAGATGTACATTTTGGTAGGGAATGTGCACTGTGCTCAGACACATCGTGCTGACGCGCGATCATGCACTTGCCGAAGTCTTGCGAGTACGGCCCTGCGGCCGCGCCGTACACACCAATTCCGGTCGCCGCTCCATCCGCCGCCGTCGCCGCCGCCAGCGGAAGCTTGCCGCTGGCTCTGGAATCGCCGCGGTGCGGGAGAAACAGTCCTTGAAGTTGGGAAACTATGTGGGTCGTGTGTCGACGGCGCTGTGGTCCCGACATCGGCTGGCAGGGCTCAGCTGGTACACTGGAACCGGAGAAGCGCACATCCGCAGCGGCGGCGGCGGCGGCGGCGGCGTTGCGGCACACGTTGTACGACGAAAATGAGCTGGCTTCGGAGGCCATGTGGATGTCGTCGCGGCCATCGCGGCTCCGTGCGACGGCAAAGATGGAGGGGATGGGCGACCGGACCGCGGTGTTCAGCTGCTTCCTGTTGGTGCCCAACACCTCAGACAGCGGCCTGCGTAGTTGGGACGCGTCCAGTTGCTATCTCTGTATGTATGTGCGGCCTTGCCTGGACCTATCTCTACTCATCCACAAGTCGCACCCAAGCCCTTACAATTATCACTGGCGAGAGAACCTGCACGTACTTTTGTACCATGGCCACCTCCGCCGCGGGCCACGCCTCTGCCCCCGATACCGATACCGCCAGCTCCCAGCGCGGTGAGCAGCACGGGGACTCGGGGGAGGGCGGGTACACGGGCTCCATGAGCTCATCCGGCCAGGTGGCCTCTAGCAGCGTCTGGTTTGGGAGGGGAGGTGCGGGGAGGGACCACCGGCGGCGGCGGGGGGGCCGGGCATATCTCGAGCGATACCAAGTGCGGTGAAATGAAATGTACTGGGCCGTAATGGCCTGGACTGCGATTTACTGGGATGTACTGCGCTGTACTGGCATGTACTGCGCTGTGTTGCGCTGTACTGCGTGGCACTTGCCTGTACAGCTCTGTACTGAGTGAATGGAAAGTCGTACACGGAGGGCTCTAACCTTCCCCAGCAGACGGCAACGTGCCCTCACTTTCCCCCCTTCGTGCCTCTCACCTGTTGTGTCTGTACGCAGAAGGCCACCGCATTCAGCGCATCCTTGAAGGCCAAGATGAAGGAATCTCCCTGCGAATGAGAATGTTAAACATGTGTATGTGTGTGATCGTGCGACCGTGTGATGGTGTGATGGTGTGTGTGTCTAGATGTATTACATATCTTGCCGGACATGGCGCTGGCCACAGAGGGGCTGCTGTCCAGCCCCAAGGAACAAGACCGCCGACGCACTCCTTCCCCTGGGGAGGGGCGTGAGGGGCCACTGTCACCTCTCCTGCACAACACACACAGCCTGAACCGCCGGATACCGTGTAAGTGTATTACACAGCGGTATAGGTCTACGGAGGAAAGAAAAGAAAAGAAAAGGATAGCCCGCAGGCTCAATCGCTGTGCCAGGAGATCGTCAGACAGCATCCAGCATCGAAAGGCACATGTATACGCGCGAGTGTGTGTGTCTGTGTGTCTGTGTGTCTGTGTGTCTGTGTGTGTCTGTGTGTCTGTGTGTCTGTGTGTCTGTGTGTCTGTGTGTCTGTGTGTCTGTGTGTCTGTGTGTCTGTATGTCTGTGTGTCTGTGTGTCTGTGTGTCTGTGTGTCTGTGTGTCTGTGTGTCTGTGTGTCTGTGTGTCTGTGTGTCTGTGTGTCTGTGTGTCTGTGTGTCTGTGTGTCTGTGTGTCTGTGTGTCTGTGTGTCTGTGTGTCTGTGTGTCTGTGTGTCTGTGTGTCTGTGTGTCTGTGTGTCTGTGTGTCTGTGTGTCTGTGTGTCTGTGTGTCTGTGTGTCTGTGTGTCTGTATGTCTGTGTGTCTGTGTGTCTGTGTGTTACGAGGGAACACCGCGCCATGCCAAGAGGTCAACAGAGGTAGCAAGTAGTTGCGCATACCGATGTGTTCATTATGCTGTACTGTGTGCACAGAGTGTTTATGTGCTGGAGTGTTGAGGATAGGGTCCCCACATCCGGGACCTTCGTCGTGTTCCACCCTGCTGAGAGGAGGCAGCTGATCAGCTAGTTCGCTGGCCACTCATCAGCCGGTAGGCGTTCGTGGGGGGAAGGGCAGAGGTTTACCTGCGCGGTAGCTGGGTGCAAGTTAGGGGTGCCGTACCATGCGGTACACCTTCTTTTAGCCAGCTAGGTCACCCCAATGCACAAGACGACCAACAAAGATCTACAACATTGCCTACCTCCTTCACAGCCTGCACCTCCCAAAACAAGGAACCAGACTTCACATGCCACAGCATGACCCGCCGACTCTATTGTACGTCAACCATCGTACTACTGCCGTACCTCTGTGGCTGACTCGTAACCTCGGTGCATCAGCAGCGTCTGTCGTACGACACGGTGGTGGATCTGAAGGGCAGCGTCCATGACGTGGGCAGGCAGGCTCTCCCACAAGCGAGTGGAGTCCTGCGCGGTGATCGGTAAGGGCGCCCGGAGGAGGTGTGGGCAACTGGGAACCGGCGTGAGTGGCAGGGCTGCCCTAAGGGGATACAATATAGAGTATTGTGCAGGATGGCGTTGGGCAAAGCTGGCGACGCCATGGTAAGTTGTGCTGTGACTGCTGTATGATGTACGATTATGCCTGAAGTACATACGTGTACGGCAGGCCCGTAAGGGCAGTACGACAACTCCGCCATCCACAAGAAGGTCGTGACTACACTGCTCCCGGTCAGTCTGCTCTGGGTGATCCAGACTGTCAGTCCCCTTACCCCAGCAGGCTCAAACCTCCCCTCGCCTCTCTTCGCCTCGTCGTTACATTACCTCGATATCGGTTACACACAAAGTGGTGTGTGGGCTCACGCCAGGAGCCTTCACGGCGTCACCCATCGACCGGCGGCCCCGCCGCCGTACTCCGGCCCAAGAAGACCCCCCTTGACCGGACCGCCGCCAGGCAATGAAAGCTGCCGCACCGGCCGCCAGCGCGGCCACGGCACTGCCGCACGGCAGCGCAATTTCGTACACCACGCGGCGGCCGTTCCTGCTGCTGCCGGTGCCATGGGACTTAGATCCTGAGGGGCTAGCAGCGCCGCCGGACCGGGGGGGACTGTCAGCGGCAGCTGCGTCCATGTCGCCGCTACCGCTCGGGTGGCCTGGTGGCACAGCCTCCTGCCAGTTCAGGGACCTGTGCGTGCACGCGTGCGAGGACATGCATGAATGCAGTGCGGCAGAGGGGGCATCTGCATTTGGACATCAATCAGCGTAGTGATCAGCGTAGTGATGCAGAAACCACCACTGGGAAGCATATACACATATACACACACATTGTACGCGGTTCTGACTTCGTCCCGTAGATCGCTCCCTTTCGGTTATTATCAATGTGTCTGGGACAGCCGTGTTGGGGGCTCTGTTGTCCTTTTAAGACTCCCTGCTCCGTGGCCTGCGCTGTGCGGTGGCGTTTACGAAGCCTAGATGGCGGGACGAGCTGCTGCAAGCTGTCATAGTTTGCAGTCAGCTCGGCCCAGTGTGCGAACAGCAACAACACTGCCGCCGGAAGATGGACTGCCTTGCTGTGCTTTTGTGTCGATGCCACCCACCACCCATCACCTGCGTCATTACGCATCGCTCTTGTACGCTGCTGTCCTACACAGCCCACCTCTACAAAAATGCGTGCACGCACCACCTCCTCCTACCTGCACATCATTTCCCATGCAGCCTGTTGTAGACCCTCAGGCAGCTGCTGACGGCCCCCAAGCGGTTTCGACGGGTGCTGGTTGGTTTGGCCTCAATTAGCCCGCCCACTCACAGGCCCCACTCACAGGCCCCACTCACAGGCCCCACATACACTCGATAAACAGCCATCTTCGGTCATACTCAGCCCGCCCCACCTCCGGTACTGCACCGCGAAGTCTGTCCTAGAGGGCTCCGCCGCCACCACAGCATTCAGAACCGCCTCCAGTTCCGTGAGAACTTGAGACCGGGTGCGCGGCTGAGCCGGAGTTTGGAAGACGTAGGCTGCGGCAGCGTCTTGGAGAGCCTTACTGAAGGATGTGATAGGGCAGTGTAGTGGGGTATTTTTGAGGTGGTCGTGTGCAGGATATTATAGGATAGGGGTGGAATAGTGGCGAGGTGGACATTAGAGGTGTGTAACGGGTGGTATTGGTATTGGTAAATTGGTAAATTGGTGGTATTGGTATTGGATTGGCGCTTGTCTTTAGGGGTATTCTTGCTTAAGCTGTCCGCTTCCGTCCCCCCCTTGAGAGCTGCCGTGGAGTTGTTTTCAAGGGTAAAACACCCAATCCCTCCCCCTCTTCCCCCCCATCGCCACGAACGGGTTAGCCACCACTTTTCGTAGCGATAACTGCAGCGAGGAGCCATGACATCTTACAGAGGTCTTATCAAAAAGTATCAGTATTAAAAGCTAATAACACTCACGTCACATTGGGCGCCAGTCGTATCTTGAGCTCGGGGCAAGTGTTGGCGCTGCCAAGGGTGGCCCGGTAGGCCGTCAGGAAGCGGGACACGTCACCACTGTCGTAACCGCGGGCCGCCCATCGCGACACGAGCTCCAGGGAAAGGTCCTCGGAGCTCTTGGGGAGCAGCTCTGAAGGGGAGTGTGTGATTTGAAATGGTTATATAGTTTGAGGTTTTAGGCCGTTTTTTAGGCCGTTTCCGAGTTCTACGGTACGAGCCCCCATTCAGCCCAAGGTGTCGTATCACCACCACAGTTTATGTGGTCGTGAAACCCCCAGCTCAACTCGGCTCAGCTCAGCTCAGCTCAGCTCTCACCGTTGGGTCCCATTAGGAGCCCGCCGCTGGTGCCCATGGCCGAGCCGCTGACCAACATGGCGAACAACTGGTAGGCACCGTACTTCAGCGGGAGGGCCAGTGTGGGAGGCAGTGTGGGGGAGGGGGACGCAGGGAGGGCGAAAAACACGATGGTGCATGGTACGCAGGGGAAGGCCTGAAAAGGCGAGCTGGCAGCTGGCAGCTGGCATGCGGATGGCAACAAGCACAGCAAGTCGATTCGGGGCCAGGCTTATGGTACATGGCGCGACGGCACGCCGACCGTATACACCTTCGTACCGGCCAACACACCTTCCCAACCTAGCTCCCGGCGGCGACACGGCGATTTTATTCCTATCAGTCCCCCCGTTGGGGGGCCGCCGTTTGGGGGGGTTTCGCCGCCTCTGCCTCCTCAGTCCGGTCCACCAAATCCCACCCATACTCCGTACACTCCACCCATACTCCGTACACTTGACCTCAGCCCCTGCGAGTTCTCACTTGGTACTGTACGGGAGATTTGCCGTTGAACAGTACGAGGGTGTTGGTTGAGGAGATGGGCCGATTGACCAGCGCGACTGTGCCGTCATCCTGGGGTGGTGGTTGCGGCGGTGGATGCTGTGAGTTTACTCGTACCGCGGTTGTGTTGTTGGTTTATCTGTGTACTGTAAGACATGACATGATGGGGTGACCGAAACGTGCCCGCAGAGATGTTCAACGTTGTACGTGAACAGGTAGGTAAATGCAGTGCAGGGTGCCTGGGCCCTGGGGACAGGTGGTAAGGAAAGATGACCGCAGGGGGACAGAGAGACAGACAGAGACAAAGAGACACAGCCCAGCCAGCCCAGCCAGCCAACTAGCCAGCCAGCCAGCTAGCTAGCTAGACAGACAGACAGACAGACAGACAGACGGACAGACAGACAGACATGAAGCCAGGCCGCACTCAGTCACAATCCCGCCCACCCACGCATGCGCCCCACCTCCAGGACAGTCTCAGTTGCAAAAGGACAGCTGCTGCGGTTGCAGGGCACCAGTTGCCGACTGGCCCGGTCCAGCACCCGTGTAGATCCCGGAAGCAGCGCGAAGCCCATGCGACCCCGTACAACGGAGAGGTTACCCGGCAGGTTGCCCATCTACAGGTTCAGAGTTTCAGGTATCAGGGTTTTGATACATATCCTTGAGTTTTAGAGGTTTTCGTCATCAAGAGCGAGTTTAAATGCTCACCGGCGCGCAGAGGAATAAGAGAGGAGGAACGAAGGAGGTGGGGGCCAGCAGCTCAGGGCCCATGGTACGGATTGCTACTTTTGTGTCCAAGTTGTGTTGCGTTGCGTTGTGTTGTGCATTTCCGGCAGCGCACCCTTCACCCCCACCCTCCCGCCTCCCCGGCTGGTGGGCCACCGCCTCCCAACATGCCTTGCCCCCGCACAGTCAACTGCCTTTAAAAAGTCTCTCTCCCCTTCCCACCCTATTCATTTGGACTGCAGTCGGACCATTGCTCAGCTCGGAACTGTACGACACCGTACTTAGTGCCCGTACCTTGAACATGTATCCGCTGGACACGGCCATGAGGCACTGACCGCGAATGAAATGGTCGCCCTGACAGCTATCGGGTGCGGGTGGCTTCGCGGGGCCCGCAGCCACCAGACGACGGAAGATCTAGGGGAGCGGAGAGGCGAGGAGACGGGTGGGGGCCGGTAAGGGAGCCGAAAGAGGGGTCCTTCTTGTCATCCTTGGATGCATTGTGCCAACGCCCCCCCCCCCCCGGGGGCCACACTACCGTGATCATCGCCAAGTGGGGGGATTGGGGCAAGTGTTGTTCTGTCCTCGCCTTTCAGAGCCCTACCGCCTGGGTAGCGTGCACAGAGTGGTCTCGCTGCTGCGCATACGTACCCCAGGTAATGGGGCGCGGGTAAATAACAGAGAAGAACACCCGTCCAAGCCTACACCGCGCCTATTTTGTTGCCTCAAATCTCAGAGTAAACCAACATCAGACAAACTCCATACAGACGAGCACGCCACCGTTTTAAACTCCACACCGGAATAGGAACACACAAACAGGCACCCACCCACCCACCCACATAAAACCCACCCACATAAACACACACACACACACACACACACACACACACACACACACACACACACGTGCGACACTCAAACCCCCTGGAGCTCTCACACCCATGCACACACACACGCAGACCTCAAGCGCCTGCTCCCCAGCCGGACTGTTAAGCAGCTGCTCCAGGCTGGTTGGGTCCCACAGCAATCCGTGAGTCGGCCCATGGGTCTGTATGTAGCTGGCCAAGATTGTACGAAAGACGAAGCTCTCTGCGCCGCACCCTGCAAGCACGTTTTGAGCTTTTATTGACATGAGATGAGGACCACAGCACGGCGACCATCATCTTTGGGTGCGCACTTAGCGGTCGCAGGACCAGATGGCTTACCTGCCAATGAAGGCGCGACTCGTACAGGCCTGACCGTGCCTGACCCACCACTCCCAGCGACCACACGAAACCCAGTCAAAACCGACATCTAAACGGTACCACTACAGACAGGCTTAACTTACTCTATGTTACATTTATACGTTCCTCTACGTTACATCTATCAATAATAAATATCTGGTGTGCAGGCACTTCCTATGACACGTGCTACCTCTAAGCACGTGTATAGCCCTTAGTGCGTGCTCAATGACCGGATGGTAAACTAACCCTACTACTTAATGGGGTGTAGCACACACACACACACAAATGAAGGGCCACAGACGGACACATTCGCCGTACCCTTAGCGATTCAGCATCCTTTAATCCGTTCAATCCAAGTCCAAATCCAAACCCACGTCCCTCACGGCTCCCCAAGCCTTATTCGCATGCAGACGCGCGCACACTTGCACTTCCAATGATGGCTAAAAGGTACCCACCGAGGGGCATGACGCAGATGCCCTTGATGCCCCCAGGTCTCGGGTCGTGGTACCGCTCCGCTAGCGCGGCCACTTGCTCCCAGGTTTGCGGCACCAGGATGCCGTCCCGTTCGAAGACGTCACGCAGGTAGTGGAGCAGCAGCGGCGCCGACGACAGCGGCAGCGCCTTGACGGCGCCGCCGTAAATGGCCGCCGACCTGAGGGCGGGCGGCAAATAGTTCCACTGTAGCAGCAGGTCATGAATCACGATGTTCGACAGATCCACAAGCTTCCCTGGAATCTGCGTGGAACCAGGAAAAGCAGTACGTTAGCGCGTACGTTATAGCAGTACGGACAACTATAGTTTTGAATTCTGGACGTGTGCTCGTGCAGGACACCAATCGAAGAGTCTCCACACTCTTTCTGTGATTTTCGTCGTTGTTGTTGGTCCGGCAAAAGCGATTGGTCCGCCACGAGAAACGGTAGCTACCCGTATCCCTGCCGTACGCTTGCCGTACACCTGACCTGCGCTGCTCCTCCGAACTCAATGTCCGTGGCGATGAGCGCGTCGAAGCCGGCGGTGGCGGTGGGTGCAGCAGATTCCAAGAGCAAGGCCTGCCGTTCCGCCTGGAGGAAAACAGTGAGGCGCCATGCACTCAATGTGGTGTGTACGGCATATGGTGGCTGCGCATGGCGACGATGGCCTACAAATCGAACGGCACGCCGTACGGATATCACGGATTTTGTGTACGGCATGAAGCTAGAACGAAGCATCCTACATATAAACGGGCTGATGAACTTTTAGTGTATCCTCTCTCCGCGCTCAAAACTCCCATGTTCGATTTTGAACTTTTCCGGTTACGGTTTCCGTCCCCAATTCCCGTACCCCTCCCTAGACTGCCCCCAATCGCCTCAAATCTCCCGCGCCCCAGACAGATGGCACAGACGGGTAGTTTTACAGGTATGGGGCCACGCACCCCCAACCATGTAACACACACACACAGACACACAGACACACAGACACACAGACACACAGACACACAGACACACAGACACACAGACACACACACAGACACACACACACACACAGATGGCTCACAGGCGATTGCTGAACAAAGCTGACGTGCATCCCCGTGGCCTCAGAGAAAATGAACCGGGCTACAGGCTCCAGCTCCCCCACGAGGGGCGAGGGCGGCCCGACTACATGCAGTGGCTGGGAGGTCAAGAGGGGACGCGACAGGAGGGGGGGAAAGTGCAATGTGATAAAGTAGACGGGGACGGGGGGTGAAGGAATGGCTGGCTCTGAAGCGGAGAGGCGGAAGGGTTGGCTTTGTTGTGTGGTGCCAAGCGCGGTTCCCTGGCAGGGATGATTCGCGGGTCCGCCGTAGCTCTGTCCTGTTGGAATCAGATTGCATTTGGTTGGCTTCGTGCGGAGTATGAGAGCCCTGTCTTACCGGCGCCATTACTACTTGCAAAGCCAGACTAAGGAGACCGGATTTACATTGATTGCGGTATCGATTCGCGCACGCGTGGCCCAGCGAGAACGCGCCTGCGCACCCGCGCGCACGCACCCGATTGGAGGCCGGCCACATGCATGCGTTGAGCATGGCCATGATCGCCAAGCGAAGCCCGATGGCAGGATTGGAGACATTTTCACGCGCATCGGCTTGTTGCCCGTACGTGGACAGCGCAATGCAACTGCATTAGGCGGAGCTCCGGTACCGTTAGTGCGAGCAAGAGTGCACTCGGCGAGACTTACTTGCGGCATTTGATCTTCTAATTGATATTTTTAGTTGGTGAATTTCTGTCTTTAGGAACGTCTACAGCTCTATTCTGGTGGTCCTTTCTTAACCCGTCGGATTATCTGTGAAAACCAAGAATCTTGCGCATATCGGGCTAAGTAAAAAATAAATGCTGATGGAGTTTACATACCTCCTGCGGACATTGGTAAAGCGACTCAGTGCACACTGCACGTCGGCAGGCTCATCGTACGTAGGCCCTGAGATCGGAGGCGCATTGTCTCCACGGCATCCAAAAAGAAAGTACAAGAAGGCCACAATGAAAATCTGTTGACCAGCTGACATGAAGCCAGCACAACTCTATGGGCTCATGCCGATTTGAATTCCAGAGCAAATGAGCTCCCAGGACAGGAAGAAAGAAGTAAAGACGGACCCTCACAAAATTTTAATGGCGTAGCATGTTTCCTATCGGGCGTGAGCTCGCTACCTAGCCAGAAGTCGGACAGGCCCTTCATGCTGGTTGACGCTGGTCAACGAAGTGATACGCGCATGATGTCATACTTGCTTCCTAAAATGACAATTAAGATGAGCCTTGAAGGCATGTTAGCCTGGGTTCGAGGTTCGTCGTCTGTCGTAAAGTAGTCGAAAGCTGAATCGGTAATGCGCCCTGTCGACGTCTCAGCTACTTCCGCCATAATCATCATCAGCTTTTCATGAAGCATATCTTTCCACTCAAAGTACATTGCAAAAGCCTTAGACAAGCGAGGACTTGGGGTTTAGGGAATCAGTTCAGGGCAGTCCCATGCAATTTCGGTGCTACAAATCAACCAATGTCTTGTAGACACCAGTAAAAAAAGGATACCTAAAACGCTGGTTGATTTATAGCTGCCTTGGTAGCTGCCTTGCCGCAGCTGTCCAAGCAGGTTGGGATCATCGCACGTCGCCGCATTTACCGTCTTTGGCCAAAAGGGTTTCCATGCCTAGGTGATTTTCACAAACATATTCAAAAATTGAGCTTGCCTTTGAAAAATCTCAAAGCGTGCGCTCTATATGCTGTTTGACTTGGATTGAAGTCAGCTGAGGAACGACAGACTACGACAGACCTGAAGTATGAAACGCCCCTGCAGAAAGTTTTATTAGGTAAACATAGATGAATTTAGATGGTAAGCATTTTCCTCTGAGCCTCTGTATGGTGACGCGCAAGCGTGCGAGATGCAGCGTTGCACTGCGCGTGCGCGTCGGCGAGCTGCACAAGACGAGGCATCATTTCATGCGTCATTAATTTAAGCATACAAGTTAAAAAAATAGCGCATACATGTTTACTCGGCTTCTCCTGCTCGCGCTCCGTCTGCGTCCCAAACCGTACATTCACACTCGCGCAATTATGCAAGTGTGTATACACACGATCCCACCTGCAGGTTGCCCGTTGCTGCACGCGTATGCATAGCTATAGCCCTACACGCCTGAATTCAAACGCCACGGTAACGCCGACTCATGCGCGATGACCCCGGTTCGGAAAAGAAATAATTGCGAATCAGGGCCTTCCCTTCTGCAAACACACAGCCTACGCAGCGTATGCTCATTCCTGCTTGAAAGGCTTTGCTTACGTAAGCGCACGCCAGTTGGTCATACCGAGTTCTAACGAGCCCTACGCCGAATATACGTACATAAATACATACATACGTACTCGTAGCTTGTCACAAGGTTGCTTGGTCCGACGTTAGGAAAACCCCAAGTTAGCAAAGATGGGTTCACCCCATCACAGGCGAGAAGAGAGGGAGGTAAGGACACACGAGGAGAGGGGAGGAGAGAGAAGAGAAAGAGAGGGACAAATACGATGAGGAGAAGGGAAAGAGGAAAGAATCGATGTGCACTATCTGTGCTAAGCGGTGTGCGGACGTATCTGTCTTACACGCTCTTTCATACGCTTCTCTGCCACCACACGCTCGCCAACCCCCCACTACAGCAATCAAACGCCAAAGATTGACGGAAACGGAGCAGCAGCCAACAAAAGCATCAATGGCGGTGGCGCCAGGCGACAGCGGGGCCCTGCGACCAACTGCCTGCAACCTTCATTCCTGTCTGCTCCTGTCAGCCGTCCTCCGCTCTGAACAGTCCTACCTAGGGCTAGCCCTAGGAGGGTAACGGTACCCATCATACACGATGCGGCGTGAGTTTCCAAATTCCAATCTAAACTCCCGGTGGGTCCTGGTCGGAGCTGTTTTGAGACGGCAGCGGAGGGTACGCGGGCGGCATGGATCGCGGTCCGTAGACGGCCAGCTGCGGCGGTGCAGACGGCGGCGAACGCGATGGAAGCGGCATTGTTGGCGTCTGGGGCTGTCTGGCGTCACAATCGGGGTGAGGGTCTAGCGGTGGCGCACTCGAAGGACGGGTTGGATGGTTTGTCGGTGGAGCGGAGCTCGAGCAGGGCACGTGTGAGAGTGAAGGTGGCTGCGGCGGGGGCGGTCGGGCTGGGGCTGCGGGATGAGGTGGGTTTGGCGGGCCCCTCTGTGGCGAAGGCGGCAGCTGCTGAGGCTGTGATCGCGCGGGGGGCGCTGAATGCGGTGGCAACGGTGACGACGACGGCGGCATGGGATACGGCGGCGGTAGCAGTAAGGAAGGTAAAGGCGGAAATGGATTTTGTAGGGACGACGGCTGCATTGGCTTCAGTGATGGCAGCTGAGGTGAGTGAGCGGGTGCGGGTGCGGGTGGGGGTGTGGAGGGTGGACGGTCCGCTGGAGGAAGAGGCCTTGGTCGTGGTGATGCCGGCGGCGGTGACTTACGACGGGGTGATCGAGGCGGCGGCGGCGGCGGCGGCCACGGTGGCGGATGTGGTGATGGCGGCGGCGGCGGTGGTAGGCGCGGCGGACGGGGCGGTGGACGCGGCGGTGGAGATAGGCGCGGCGGTGGGCGAGGAGACGGCGGCGGCGGCGGCGGAGGCGGCGGCGGACGAGGGGATGCAAATGGGCGAGGAGGTGGACGCGGCGGCGAAGGTAGGCGAGGTGGCGGGCGAGGGGATGGAGGCGGTGGCGGCGGAGGATTGGGAGGTGGTGACGGCGGAGGTGACGGATGCAGTGATGGCGGCGGTGACAGCGGCGGTCGGAGTGATCGCTTGGGTGGTGGCGGTGAAGGGCGCGGTGAGGGCGGTGTTCGGGGCGACGGCTGGGGTGGCGGTGAAGGGCGCGGTGCGGGCGGTGTTCGAGGCGACGGCTTGGGTTGCGGCGTTGGCGGTCTCGGACGTGTTGCCCCCGGCTCCACCGGCGGGAGCTTATCCGTATAACCCGCCAGGTAGGGATCTGGACGCTCGTTGGTTGGGTCGTAGTATCTGCAGCGTTATTTTCGGAGTAGTAACGAAGACACGGCAGTTTAAGGTGCTGATTTTGTTAGACAGAAAAACGGTAATAATGAGTGTCAGGGGAAGAAAGGACACGGTTCCGCGTGCGCTAGCTTACATTCGGCAGCGTGCGTACGTCAGTTTAATGAAGCTGCCGTATAGCGTGTCGTACTGCGGCTCCATGGCTTGCGCCAGATTCGTCACACTGCGCGCATGGGAGTGCGAGAAGGCCAGGAGGGGGAGTCGTGGGGGGGCGTGTCGTGTTACGGCAAAACAAAAGAGCGCGTTAGGCAGTTAGGGACAAGCGTGCAAACGACGCGAACGAATCAGGAGGTCGGGAGCCGTCAGCGAAGCGGCCACCGCATCCTTGTGGTCGTTGAACCAACTGTATGGAAACATCACCATAAATTCATGTCACCTACACAATGAGCTAGCTCCCTGTAAGAAGGAATGCGCCGTATCCGATTGTATGGTGTAGGAAAGCCGTAGGGGACGGGGGGTCGTAGGGTTCGAAGGGGTGTAGGGGCCGATGTGCCCGAGGACATCACAGCAATCCCCCTCCACCTCCTAATAAGAACGTCTGTGCCCCCCTGCCCCCTGCCCCCTGCCGCCTGCCGCCTGCCGCCTGCCGCCTGCCGCCTGCCGCCTGCCTCGCCACTCGCGGCTCCCACACCCTCATGCCTGAAACTTTAGTGACACCTGCGCGACACATGACCTGGCAGCTGCCGTACCGTACCTGCCGTCCGGATGCACGCGACGGAAGGGATTCCTGCAGCGCACAGCACACGATACCACACAGTCCACCACCATCATCATCATCATCATCATCAGCAGCAGCAGCAGCAGCAGCAACAGCATATTTAGGACGATATTCAAACCCCAACAGGGCGTTTTGGGACGCGAGCGTAGCGGCACGACGTTCATGGCGCGGCAGGGATGACAACAGCGACGGAGGTTGCGGTGCGGTGGCTGCCATCCCCAACTATTCCTATTCTCTATCCTAGTCAATTCTTGAACACAGTGCGGTTAGTGGACAGCTGTCATCATCATGTGTGTGGTGTCTGTCATTCATACCCCTCCGGACATCCCCTATGGAACAGTAGATGCGTTAGAAGGAAGAGGGGGCGGGTCGTTGCAGTGGTGCTGGTGGTGTGGACGAGGACGAGGACGAGGATTGGGTGCGGGGGGACTGACAGACAGACAGCTAATCTCAACTTCCGCGGTGCTGTGTAACGCGGGGGAAGTGACCAAATGCGCACTTGCTCTTGGCCTCGTGTAGTGGCTGGCCGCTGAAAAGGCCTCTCGAGATGCTGCTGCTGGCGGTCGCGCTTAGCGCGTATTTGTAGACGTTATGTGTGCCGTACTGTGCCGTACCAGCTACTTCACCGGGCCCCCACGAAGGCGGTGGGCCCCCCCCCACACAACACACCACCACCAGCGGAGTCCAAACGCCACCCACCCACCTGCACAGGTCGCCTTTACAGTATGATAGGACCGTGAGTACGGCGTCCAAGCGGTTGATGAGATTGGAGGTAAGGGGATCGTACGGCACGGCCTTCGCCCTGTGGTGGAAGCCGGCGGGGGGCGCCGGCCATCCGCACGCGATAGCAGGCAGGCGCATGACTGGGCGGTTCAAAGGGGGCTTATGGCGAGATTGGATCCAGACAGATTCAATCTCGGGGGAGCTGGGGGGGGGTACGCTGCCCTGGGCCTTTGCTGCCGTGTCGGCGTAACATGCATGGAGTTACGATGTCGACTGTCGTATTTAAATTCAGGACATCACACACATGTGGTCCGACATTAAATTTCGTAAGGATTGCTTGCCGCAACTAACTGATGATTGAGCTGCAAATAATGTTCATGGTTTGTATGGTTCACACACCACACACAGCCTGCACCCTTCACGACACGTCGAATGGCATGACACGGACCGTACCTGTTTGCCGTACCTGTCCCTGACCTCCGCTGGATCCAGCCCCAGGTCGTACAACTCCACGTTTGTAAGTACGGGAGTTTGCTTCTGGACGGGGTTGCACAATACGGTGTACCTGCGGGGTTGGGGATGTAGGGCAGCCAAAAAGGGGGGGGTTAGGAGGCGACTGGGTGAAGTAAAGGCCACCGCGCATGGAAAGCTTGGACACACTCTTCCTAAGTTAAAAAAGCCTTCGCGGAGTTCAACACGAAACACGGGCCCAGGACTACCACGAGCACTAGGCGGGGGGGGAGGAGAAGGAGGAGGAGGGGAGGGGGAGGAGAAGGAGGGGAAAGCGGAGAAGGAGGGGAAATAGGGGGAGGAGGAGATGGAGAAGGAGGGGGAGGAAGAGGAGGGGTAGGAGCGGGAGGAGGAGGAGGCCCAGAACATGTCGGGTACACAAGACCCAAAGCAAACGAGCCGTGAAGGGGTCTACCTAGCGAAAAAGAAAACCGCAGTGTCAAGTTCTGCAAAACGCTTTGGGTTTCACGATACGATGGGATCAGAAGCTGTGTAGGGACTTCAATCTATCATTCTGTGTCGCTTTTAAGTTTCCTGCGGTGATGTCTGTCGACGGTCTCAACAGGTATTAGCCCACAGGCCGCGTGCCATCACGGTCATGCGATAGCACATAGCTACAGAGTGGCGCACGGATCAAACGCGGCCTCGTGTCCATCGTTCAGCTTCCAGTTTCGCTTCGCGATTTCCAAGTCGCCATGATCATGTGTGCGTGTGCAATTGATACTCTTACTTGTAGCAAGTCCACGGCCTCCTTCCTCCATACGCCTGGTACGTTGTGCATGCGCGAATGGTGCGGTAGGCCTTGTTCTTGAACACAGAGTCGAGCCACGACTCGATAAGAGCGCTGCGAAGCGCGGCGGCGGTGGTGTTTGTGGCAGCGGCGGCGGCGATGGCGACGGTAGTGGGGGCCGTAGTAGCGCAGAGGCGATAGCGCGGGGGCGGTGGAGGGGAGGCCATTGGAAGTGCGAGAACTCAAAAAAAACACAGCAGCGCCTTGAGACACATCCCCCTTTGGGGGTTCTTCCCAGCACCCCCCGGTACCGGGCCACCTTCCGGGCGAATGAGTGGATGTTACCTGAGCTGCCGGTAGCTGGAGGCGCCCGCTCCCACTAAGACCTCCCCCTCCACCTCCCCCTCCCCCTCCACCTCCCTAATACCGTCAATGACGGGTTCCTGAGCCTCTTGCCACTCACAGCTCCCCTCTCGCCCCGTGTCCCCACCCCACCGCCTTAAGAAAGGCACACAGGGTACGGTATGCCCTTTCCCCCTTGGTGTGTTCCTCCTTACACATTGCTCCACATCGCGAGGCTGATCTGCGGAAGCGGTCGTACACCGCCCGTACTTCCACCGCTGCGGCTGTTGCCGCCGCTGTCCAGGGCGTCCGTCGTTTCAGGAAGTTCACGGCGGTCACGGCGGTCGTTGGCGCTGACCTGGGCCGCGCTGTTGCGCCCGCTTGCCGTCGACACGGAAGATAGCACATTAGGCAACCTTGTTGCGTCGTCACCGTCAGCACTGCCACCTTCAGATGCGGTCAACACTGCCACTGCCGCCGCACGCTGCCTGAGAATGGCCTTCGCCTCCTGTACGGCGTTCCGTACTCGCTGTAGCGAATATTCCACAAGTACGGACCCGGGAACCTGAGGCATGGGATCATGGGCCACGGCGGCGGCGACGGCGGCGGCGGCAGTGGCTGCCGCGGCGGCAGACCGTGAGCAGCCGCTGGCGGCGGCGGCGGCGGCGGCGGCGATGGCAACGGTGCCGTTGGCGCCGTCGGCAGCAGCAGCACGAACTCGTGTGACCCAGCCCTCAAGCCCCAGTGCATCGGCGTGTTCCTGGAAACAAAGCAAAGTACGGCACGAGTACGGCATCAGGAGTGCACAACGTAGGTACGATGGGAAATGTTGCATCGTTCAGTGCGGCCTTTAATAAAGTAGCTCATGCAATTATGTTTTGCGGGCGGACCCTGGGCTTGAGTGTTCATGGCTATCAAACTGCTTGCCTCTGATGAAGCAATCCTGTCCGTCTGCATATCTGTCGCATGGTGAATTTGCAATCAAACCCGTCGTACATGATGACGTCAGCCTGACTGCACGTACGTATTCACGAGAGCGGTTTGTACGACGTACCTCCAGCCACAGGTCATGTTGCCAGTGCCAACCGTTAGGACGCCAGGACCCCAGCAGTTGAGGTAGGGAGGTAGGGACGGTGGCGGCGGCGATGGCGGCAGCGGCGGCAGAGGAGGAGGAGTCTATCAGCACCGCCGCCGCCGCCGCCGCCGCCGCAGCAGCAGCAGCAGCGTCGGTGGCGGCCGCCGCAGCAGATCCTGCGGCGTACTTTAAACATACATCAGCGCCGTCTACAGGGTCGTCAGGCTGCCAGAGGTGGGCGGTGGCGGAGGCCGCATACAGCGACGTGGACTCGAGCCTCCTCCTCCGTCGCCTGTCAAAAGAGCCACCTGCACCCACGTCGTCCCCGTCGCCAGCAGCTGGCGGTCGCGGCGGCGGCAGTACCAGCGGCGGCGCTGGCGGGCGCGGCGGGTCGGGCGGCGGCGGCGGCGTGCAGTAGTACCGGTTATTGTTGTCCGGCGGCGCGGTAGGCTGCCCCGGCGGTGCCCTGTACGATGACACGATCTCCGCCAGCGGCATGGGCGCGCTGTCCAGGTCCACGTTGCCTGAATTGGCACCTTCGAGGAACAAGGCGATCAAGCGGCGCCGCGCACAACAGGGCATCCATCCGACATCGGGAGACGCAGGGTTTAAAGCCCGGGCTCCTGTACGGCGTTTTCTGGCGTCTTCGGCGTCCCCTCCAAACACGTCCCCACGTTGAGATGCAGGATGCACAGGATGAAACCCTACGATATGCCGTGCCACACGCTGCGGTCCTAAATAGGCTCCACGTGCATTTGCGTTCTAAAAGCGACATGCCGTCCGTAAAACGGTTTTTCCGCCGTCATTTGTCTCCAGCGGCGCATCAACGATGGCCGTCAACTACCCGTCAACTGCCGATCTGCACGTGCCACGTACGCATACACACACATACACACACATACACACACACATACACACACATATACACACATACACACATATACACACACATACACACATACACACACATACACACACATACACACACATACACACACATATACACACACATACACACACATATACACACACATACACACACATATACACACACATATATATACACACATACACACACATACACACACATATATATATACACATATACACACATATACACACATATACACACATATACACACACACGTAGACAGACCATATCACTTCCTCCACCCCAATACTTTGTACCCACCATCGCAGCATCACTCACCCACCGGCCAGTGACAGGATGGTGGCGGTCAGGTCAGTCATCGTCACCTGCAGCTCGGGCCCTGTGGCCACACCCCGCGGAATACCGGGACCGGCCAGCAGCAGAGGCAAACGCACATCCTCCTGGGGGGGTGAGGCGGGGAAGTGTTATGAGGCATCTTCGGCACGCAACCGAGGGGGCGCAGAAGAAGCAGCGCCGAGGATGTGCGCTGCCAAGGGCACAAGGCGCAACGCAGCAGTGCATTACACAGCACCACAGAGGGGCAGAGCGCCTCCGCCCGGTGCCCCTCCGGATAAACCGCTTCACAGAAAGCAGACCCTCACTCTCCGAATGCAGGTTCCGGCCCCTGTGGGAGGGGGTTACAGGCAGCGGCGGCGCTGGCGCTAATCCTTTTCCTTTTTCCTACTTCCTTCTCTCCACCAGGTGCACCTCCGCGGATGGGTGGGTGGGGGATCGGAACAGTGTAGGTGAGCTTCGGAAACGTACCCCGGCCGCACACATCCCTCCATCCTCACCTCGTACTGAGTGAACTTCTCCTGAAAAAATAAGCCCCGGTGGCGGGTTACGGAGGGTTGAGGGTGAGGGAGGGGTGAAGGAATGGCGAGGGCATGAAGAGAAACGTGTGGGGATGGGGAGGCGGGGAGGCGGCGTGAGCGAGGGATGCAGGTTTAGGCGGAAGGACGTGACAAAGGCGGAAGGGGCAGGGAACGGATGACCGCCCAAGCGAGGTTATAATCCTAAACCTGTTGCACTGTCAACAGAGGTGCAACAGATACACATACAGACAAACACGCGCGAACGCCTATTACATGTGTGTGCGTTTTACACCACCTGCACTTGTGTTGACCTCCAAAGGTGAATAACGAGGGGGCCCATACCTTGAGCCATCAGGGGAATTCCCAAAGGCCATAATAGCTGAAGGCTGTCCGAAATAGACAGATGTCATAGGACGCACAAAAAAACGAGTATCCTCTTACAATAAACATACATCATAGAATATGTAATATAATATCATAATAATTATCTAATAAATAAAACCATTTATTTATTATATATATTATATGCACAGCTTATCATCCCCACTCCTACATAGTCATCTTTTCCCCCCCACACACACATCCACCTGCTGTCCCTCCCTTCCTCCCTCGCCCACCTGCGCAATGTTGTGGCTCCCCAGCTTAAAGCCGTTATCGGAAGTGTAGACGATGACCGTGTTATTCAGCAGGTCCCTACACGCCAACTTGGAAACCACAGCCGCCACCGTGTCATCGACGGAGCGCAGTGCGGCCAAACGGGCCCTGTAGTGCTCCGTGAGGCGGGGAATCTGGAGGGGAGGGGTGGGGGGGGGGGATTCAGGTTCCAGACTTGGACTGGGGGAGGGTTGCGTGCAGCTGAGGGATAAGAGGAAGATTCGCTCAGCTAGAGCACAGCTAGAGCACAGCTAGAGCACAGCTAGAGCACAGCTACAGCGCGGTCTTCCGGCACATTCTATTAGTGGCAAAGGATTCCCCACGCACCGCGTCCTTGGAGTCGTACGGCCAATAGTAGCCAATTTTATTGGGGGGCCTTACGCCAAAATTGGGGCTCTGCAATGCACAGCATCATAAGCATTAAGAGAAGCAGCGGCCGGGGGATCTCGTTTGTCAGTCAGGGTTCTGCAAGTTGTTTAAAAAACAAGGGTTTTAGGGTATTAAGGATTCCGCGCTGTTAGGGCGCAGGCTAAATACCCACCTCTGGCAGCTCGACGTCGCCGTACATCCCGCGGTACTTGACCTCCACTTCGGGTACGGCATCGGTGCCTCCCGATGCGTCATGGGGTGCGAAGGTGGATACCATGAGGAAGAAGGGCTTCTTGCCCCGGAGGCTGTTGGTGGCAGCAGCGCGTCTGGGAGGCAGCAGGTGGTGAGGAGTGAGGAACAGGAGAAGAAGGAGATTATCGCTCAGTCCTGCCGTGTTGCGCGTTACGGTAGCTAAGCCACCAGCCGCCATCAGCTCGGCTTGGTAGCAAATCAACCTGTCTGCGAAAACCCATCTCAACACCAACCCATTGTGAGAGTTGCACTAGTGGCCGATAGTGATGACAGTTACCTGTGTTGCACCGTTAACGAATCCTAGGACCCCAAGTGCCGAAGAGCCACCCCGGGCGACCCACCCAGGACCAGCAGCGAGAAACCCGGGGATCGCTGCATTGCGGCAACCCCCGGGATTGCCCGGGGTGGGTGGGTGGGTGAGGTGGGTGGGTGGGTGGGTGAGGTGGGTGGGTGGGTGGGTGAGGTGGGTGGGTGGGTGGGTGAGGTGGGTGGGTGGGTGGGTGAGGTGGGTGGGGGTGAAAATTAGAGTGCACTGTCCCAGCAGCGGGACACACCTCCTGGTAGGTAATAGTCAAAACAACGGCAGTTTAGGAACCAATGCGCCTTTGCGACCCAAGTAGAAGCTCGGCGTACTGTACGGGTCCGGCACATGCGTGCATGCATGCGCCCTGCTTCCGCGCGCCACGGCAGCTCCCCTTCGCAATAACTAACTAACTACTCGCACATCTCTACACTCATATCTTGCTTCGAGAAGTCGAAGCTTAAGGAAGGAACCGCAACCATTACAACCACCACGACCACCACGACTACCACAACCGGTCGCGGGAAATGGTCGGAAGGGAGGAAGCGGGCGGCGGGGGCTGTTTGTCGCGTGTGGGAGGGTGGCCCCGGCGGGACAAAATGCAGCCGTGCACCTGCCACATTGTGCACAGTGATCTATGCAGGAGGGAAGAGGAGGAAGCGAATGGTGTGGGGACAGGCAGGCACCAAAACCCGTCGCACCCGTCGTTGGGTGTGATGTGGCAAGAAAGGTGCAAAAGAAAGGCACGCAAGGGAACGGGGGGAGGGGAAGGGGAGGGAAAGGACGGCGCGCTCGAGCGACACAACCAGTGGTTCATCGTAGCCCTGCGGGCCCCGGGCAGCGTGCGGATGACTTACTCAATGTACTGCAGGGCCTTTTGCCGTACGACGATCTCGGTAAAGGTGTCAGGGAAGGTCTCCAGCGTGCGACACTCGCGCATGAACCTGGGCGTCTGTCGTACAGCCGCCGCCGCAATTGCCGTACAGCCGCGACCGCATCCAAACGCAGCCATACGTGGTGATCAACGGATCGCGGGGGATGGGGAATGGCGGGAATATCCGAAGACAATTGGGGGAAAGGATGGGGAGGGAATCAGTATGATGCGGTGTATGGAAGGGATGCAGGAGGAGGAAGTCTCCGGCCCAGGAGATGTATTCATGTCGGATACTACCATGCTTGGCAGGACCCTGAAACTTGGTTTTATGTGTACGACAACTCACGTCCTTGTAGTACAACTCCTCCGCGCCGCCTGTATCGCCCAGCAGCATGGCGTCTATGGAACACGGGCGATGTTGAGAGGGCCGCGAACGGGTCAGAGTAGCAAGAATTGAAGGCATTAAAGGGATTAAAAAAAAGGAGAAGTTAAAACTAAAGGAGTTCCCCCAACGGGGGTGGTTATGCGTGTGGGGTGAAGGCGGTGAACGTTATGTGGCGACTTCCGGATAGGTGCTCGTAGCTGCAGAGGCGCCTGCTGTCTGGCAGCGGCATCTCTTTCAAGTCGTACACAATTGCAGTGCCAGGCCGGATGTGCGGTGTCGAATGAAAACCCGAATGAGTGACGTCTTTGTTGTCTTACATAACATACGCAGCTACAACCCACGACCAGAACCCACGGCAGACTGCAACTAGCATAACCGCCACAACCGTCGCAACCGCCACAACCACCTGGCTACCCACCCATGGCGGTCCACCCCCGCGGGCAGCCTAGCTCCAGAAGGCTGTCATGCGTCAAGCCATTCAAAAACTTGCCCACGTAGTACGTGTCGTACCCGGCGGCCTGGCATTTGATTACTCACAGGGAATGGGGGAGGGGAACATAGAAGCTCGGAAGACAGACAGGTAGCTGGACTACCTTATGCGAGGGAAACCTATTGGTGCAAAACGTGTTCGAATTCTGCTTGTATCTTTCCAGGAGAATATGTGTGTATGTGTGTATGTGTGTATGTGTGTATGTGTGTATGTGTGTATGTGTGTATGTGTGTATGTGTGTATGTGTGTATGTGTGTATGTGTGTATGTGTGTATGTGTGTATGTGTGTATGTGTGTATGTGTGAATGTGTGTATGTGTGAATGTGTGTATGTGTGTGAAGGAGGGCACGGCATTCCAACATTTCCCCTACGTTCCTTCACCCGAGCGAACCCCTGCAGATCAGTGTTTTTTTTTAAGTAATATATTACTTTTAAGGAATAAAGAGGCCTTTTTGGCCTTTGGAAATAAGGAACAAAGTGAGGCCGATCCGTACATTTTCATTCCTTCAGCCAAAAACGTCCATTGCTGCCAGATTGCTCCGTAGTGTGCAGAACTTAGTATTATCGATCATAAAATAGATATGAGGGGCCGTAAGAAGGTCAAGCCCGTGAGTCAACGCGGCATAGCAGAATGTATGACCGGTCCTTCCATAGACAAACACGCAAAAGGCAACGACTTGAACGCCGAACAAACACAAAAACAGCAAGATAAGTCTAAAATTTTTCCTGATAAAGGCGTTTGGGACGGCGGTGCTGTTGTCGGTAATGCATCGGCAATGTTGCTGCCAGCGGCGACCGATGACACGGGCGCCATTACCCCTGCCTTCCATGGCGGTTGTGATCAGCATAAGCGCAAGCTGTCACCCAATCAGCTTGACAACAACGAATGCGGCGAGGCGCCCAACCCGAGTGCTCGCAGTGCCAAGCGGGCTCAGACACAGCGCATCCGCAAGGGCATGAGCGACGGTGCATGGCGGGACAAGCAGATGGAAAATCCCCACAGATGGCAGATTGCCAGTGCGTGCCTGTTGGTCTATGAGGGGAGTTGTAATTTATCGGGGGGGGGTCTGGGGGGG